GTCTTCTACTAACCAATTCATATATATATCCAATTTTGTCACATTGGTTGATAACACTGCTTATTTTATTTTATTTTATTTTTTGAGACAGTGTCTCACTCTGTTGCTCAGGCTAGAGCGCAGTGGCGTGATCTCAGCTCGCTGCAACCTCTGCCTCCCAGGCTCAAGCCATCCTCCCACCTCAGCCTCCAAGTAGCTGGGACTACAGGCACACACCACCATGCCTGGCTAATTTTCTGTAGAGAGAGATGGAGTTTCACCATGTTGCTCAGGCTGGTCCTCAGCTGCAAGCAACCTGCCCGTTCTGGCCTCCGAAAGTGCTAGGATTATAGGAGTAAGCAACCATGCCTGGCCTGGTTTCTTAATATTTGTTTAAAAATGTTGTTTCACCTTAAGGCTTAAGGATCACTTAAGCCCAGGAGTTTGAGTCTAGCCTGTGCAATACAGCAAGACCCCATCTGTATGGAAAAAAAAAAAAGAGAAGAGATTGATTTAATCTTACCTAGTGGTAGAAAAAATTAGAAACATTTTATTTCAATTCAGGAACAGGACATGAATGTTCACGTATGATGACTGATTTATAATTTTGCTTTCTCATACTCCCCTCACTTCACCTGGTTTTGGTATCCAGATTGTAATTTAACTTTATAAAAAGAGTTGAGAAAGTGTTGCTGTTTTTCTTTTTTCTGGAATGGATTAAGATTAGAATATCTCTTCATTCGATGTTTGATAGAACTTGTTAAAACAGTCTGAGTATGTTTTTATCTCTTTCCCTTTCTTTCAAGGGAGGTAGATTTTGGACTACTGAGTGAGGTATATGAATTTTAAATTATATGATAGATATTGTCAAACAAATGGTTCTCTAAAAAAGTTGCACCAATTTATATCACTATGAAGACTGAAATGTTTATCAATTTGATATAAAATTTTATTTCATCTTAATTTTGAATGCATGCCTTTATGAGCTAAGGTGACCACAATTTCATATATTTATTAAATCTTTCTGTATCGACTTGGCTATTCATTTCCAGTAAATTGCCTGTTTACTTCTTTCGTTTCTGTCTTCTTACAGATCTGTATGAGATTTCAGTATTAAAAAAATCAATACTTTGTGTTTACAATAAATGCATATTTCCCCATATTTGTTTTATATTTATGTAATTTATAGATTTATGTTCTCTTATACACAAATTTATAATTAATCTTTTTTTTTTTTTTTTCATTTCTACAATCCAGGTTTTCGGTCTGCTTAGAAATAACGCCTTCTCAACTCTTAGAATACCAAAACTTTGCCCAAATGTTTTTCTTATAATTTTATGACTTAAAAAATATAAACAGCTTATTAATCTAGAACACTTTTGCTTTCGGTGATCCAGGAATCCAGCTAAAATTGCAAAATACCTAGACAATCACCAACATCATTTATTAAACAATCCATTCTTATATGCTGATTTTAAAATGTAATCTTTAGAATGATAGAATTTTTAAACATCATTTTTCCAATGATTGTGTAAAAACCGATAAAATGAGATTCACTGAATGTTACACCCTTTAAGTAAAAGATTAATGGGAAATTGCATATTTACATGATATCAAAGTATCATCCCACAGATTATTTATGAATTGCAAAGGGAAAAATATGTACTTTTACAATAAAGAGAGGTTCACCACCTAAACACCACTGATATACTGAGACCATTTTATGATAATGATAAGATACAATGTAAAGTGCACAACATTGCTTATCAAGTACTCTTGCCAAAAATGTGTAACTAGAAACTAGTAAAACCTTAAAGCTAACTTCTACTTGATAGGAAATACAGAAAACAAATTAAGCAACACCAGCAGAAAAGAGTGGAGTTTAGAATATGAAATATTCTACAACGAAAGTGGCCAAACTCTTCAAAAACCAAAAATTAGTGTCATGGGGGGAAAAAGGTATCAGACTGCTTTAGATTAAAAGAGCCTCCATAAGAGATGCAAAAATCAAATGCAATGTGTGAAAAGCTAGATTTGAACATGCTTTGAAAAGATATTAAAGTCATATTTAGGACAAGTGGATTGGTAAAAGTCAAATATATTCTGGATATTAGATGATACCACAGAACTGACCTTAAGTTTTTTACAATTATTACCTTTGGTTTTTATATAGGAGCATATCCTTCTTAGCAGATATACTTAAGGACAAAGTGGCAGGATACCTGTTGGTGAAGGGGTTCATTGTGCTAATCTTAGAACTTTCTGCAGTTAAATTTTTGTAATATAAAGTTGAAAAAAAAAATGCAACCTTTCTCAATAGTCTAAATTGTCCTATTTCTGCATTCTCTCTGTCCTACTGACCTATCCACTTGTTCCCTGCCAGACTAATTTTTTCCCTTTTCAAAGAAAATTATGTTTTATTATTGACAGATAATAGAGGCATAGATTTCTGGGATACACGTGGTAATTAAATACATTCATATAATTTGTAAAGATTGCATCAGTGTAATTGAGATATCCACCACCTTAAATATTTGTCTTTTCTGTATGGGAAAAACATTCAAATTATCTTCTTCCAGCTATTTTGAAATATAGATTGCTGTCAACTAGTCACCCTACTGAGCCATCCAACACTAAATGTTATTTCTCCTATCAAACAGTATATTTGTCCCCATTAATCAAGCTCTTTTCATCGCCTCCCTCCTCTACCCTTCCCAGCCTCTGGTAACTTCCAATCTATTCTCTATCTTCTTAAGATCCACTTTAATTGTCACATATGAGTGAGAACATATAATATTTGTCTGTGCTTTGCTTATTTCACTTAACATAATGACCTCCAGTTCCCTCTATGTTGCTCAAAATGACAGGACTTTACTCTTTTTTTATGGCTAATATTCCATTGTGTATACATATACCTTTTCTTTATTTATTCATCCACTGATGGACACTTGTTTGATTCCATATTTTGGCTATTTTGTGAATAGTACTGCAATAAACATGGGCTTGCATCCCTTCAGTATACTGATTCCCCTTCTTTTGGATATATACCTACTAATGGAATTGCTGGATCATACAGTAGCTCTATTTTTAGTATTTTGAGAAACTGCCATACAGTGTTCCAAAAGCTGTATTAATTTACATTCCCACCAACAGTATATGAGGCTTCCCTTTTCTCCACATCTTCACCAGTATTCACTATTACCTATATTTTTGAAAAAGGCCATTTTAATTAAGGCAAGATAATATCTCACTGTGCTTTTTATTTGTATTTCTCTGATGATGAGTGATGTTCGGCATTTTTTGCTGTATCTGCTGGCCATTTGTATGTCTTCATTTGAGAATGTTTACTCACACCTTTTGGCTATCTTTTAATTTGTTTTTGTTATTATTGTTTTGGTAATGAGGTCCTTATATATTATTGATATTCTAGTTATTAATCACTTGTCAAACAGTTTGCAAATATTTTCTCCCATTCTGTGGGCTGTCTCTTCACTTCGTTGATTGTTTCTTTTGCTGTACAGAAGCTTTTTAGCTTGATGTAATCCCATTTGTCTATTTCTTCCTTTGGTTGCCTGTGCTTTGAAATCTTAAACAAAAAGTATTTTGCACAGACCAACATCCTGGAGTGTTTCTTCAATGTTTTCTTCTAGTAGTTTCATAGTTTCATGTCTCAGATTTAAGTATTTAATCCATTTTGAGTTTATTTTTCACAGCATTATTTATCGAAGAGACTGTCCTTTCCTCCTTTTATGTACTTGGTGCCTTTGTCAAAAGTAAGTTGTCTGTAAATATCTGTATTCTCTCTGGGATTGGTATGTGTGTTTTTATGCTAGCAACAAGCCGATTTGGTGACTATAATGTATTTGGTTACTTTGTAATGTATTTTTAAGTCAGGTAGTGACTTTGTTCTTTTTCCTCAGGATTGCTTTGGCAATTTGGGGTCTTTTTTGGTTCCATGTAAATTTTTTCTATTTATGTGAAGAATGTCATTGGTATTTTGATAGGGATTACACTGAATATGCAAACTGTTTTGGGTAGTACTGACTAAATTTTTTTATTTAGAATAACTTTAATATCTGGGTGAGGCTAATCCCCGACTAAGGTTTTTATTTCTTTATCTGAGCGTTTCTAAGAAATGACACAATACTGAATAGGTCCTCAAACTATATTAAATAGCTAAGTTGATTTTGTTAAAAAACAACACATTTCTTAGAGTTAAAATTTACACTCTTTTTTATGCACATTCATGTGTATATGGACATTTACACAAGAAACAGATGTGCTCTTCTGACATTTTTCATCTAATTAATTACATGTAAAATGTCCCTCAGATTTTTGTGTACCAGAGTATACCAGTATATTACAAATATTAAGCATCTACATATACACATAGATATGTACGTATGGCACTCACACTCAATTCAGTAATTTTCTAAGTGTCTATTTCTTTTCGAGACAGACCTCAATTTGTCACCCAGGCTGGACTGCAATGGTGTGATCATGGCTCACTGTAGCCTTGACCTTCTGGGTTCAAGCAATCCTTTTACCCCAGCCTCCTGAGTAGCTGGGACTACAAGTAACTGCCACCATGCCTGGTTAATTTTTTTTTTTTTTTGTAGAGACAGGGTTCCACTGTGTTGCCCAGGCTGGTCTTGAGCTCCTGGGCTCAATTGATTCTTCTGCCCCAGCCTCCTACAGTGCTGGGATTACAGGCGAGTACCACCGCACCTGGTTGTGTCTATTTCAAATGTGTCAAATTTGCTTCCCAGTTTCTCCTTGAGTTCGTGCGTAAAAAAAGCTCAACCTAATATTTCATTATCTAGTTTTGGGAAACCAGAGTTAGCTGTTTTGATGGATGACAAAGTTAAAAGTTTATAAATTAATAACTTTATTAATGAATAAAGTTTCAACTTCATGCATAATAAACAAGAACACACATGTAGAAATTAGTGACTGAAAGCAAATTTTTAAAATTTGCTGTTAAGGAGGACAAAAATAAAGATGTTTTGTATTATCCTTTGCACTTTTCTGCTTTAAAAAATTTCTTTAAAACATATAAATTTATACTAATAATAAATCAATTATTTAATAACCATGAAATATATCTCAAGGAAATATAACCTTAAAAAGACATCATAATATTAACGTTATGACATTAAGAACTAATAATCAAGTGAGAATTGGTAATTTAATCTCAAATTTTTGCATCTAAGATTAATTTTCCTCTACTGTACTACAGTAAATTTTTACAGTATAGTAAGTTTTTCATAGTAGTCATCCCTCAGTATCCATGAGGGATTGGTTCCAGTATCTTCTGTGAATACCAAAATCTGCAAATGCTCAAAAGTTCCTCATATAAAATGCACAATACCTGCATATAGCCCTATGCACTATATAGTACTTTAAATCATCTCTAGATTACTTACAATGCCTATACAATGTAAGTGCTATGTAAACAGTTGCTATACTGTATTGTTTATGTAATAATGACAAGAAAACATGCCTGTACATGTTCCGTACAGACTCAATTTTTTTTTTCCAAATATTTTCACTCAGCATTTGGTTGAATCCATGATGCAGAACCCATGTATGTGAAAGGCTGACTGTATCTACTTTACAATTAAAATGTAAATGTCCCTTGGCTTAGTGCTAATGTAAGAAGAAGGAGCAATTTTAAAAAACGCAATTCTTCTTAATTTCATACCTAAATATACTTAGTTATATAATAACTGAATCCAAAAAGCCAAAATGACACTGCTCCTTTCACCTCCTAAAATGACAAATTTTCAAATGGTAAGTGTAACATGTTTTAATGATTTAAACCATATCTTTAAAAAGGTTCACTGACAAGTAAGTATACAGTATAGTATTTTAGTTTGTGTTTAATAATTATATTTTGAAAAACAAATTTGCTTGGAATTAAAGCACTTGGACATTCCCAGTAAAGTTACAAACAATTTTCTTACCTTGCTGCATCTGTGGATGTGTTGTGTAACTTGAAGGATGGGAATATGGCATGTATCCTGCAGGGCTTTGTGGGGCGTATGGACTAGGCACTGGGCTATTTTGCTGTGGCATAAATCTGTTCCCAGAGCTTGTCTGTGGTGGCACAAACCGGCTAAAACCCAAAATCCAAATAAAAAATGTAAGGAAATAAAATAAACATGCTATTCCTTGAAATTTGACTGTCACAAAGTCCTCTGAACTCTAGTTTATATATGTACAATCTATGCAAATAGAAGAATCTTGCAAAATAGTCAAATAATATACAAAAATTGTTTGCAATTCATAATCAAAGAGTTACAATAAAAAAGTTTTTAAAAGCAGGTAATTTGTTTACTTATATAAAAGTACCAATCTGTTTAAGGTACTTAAAGCCATGTTCCCTAAATCTTACCTCAAACACATTAGTTATTTTAACATTCTTTTGTCTGTATGAAATTACATTACTAAGATGGTAGCTACTTCAATTAGCATATTAGACTATTTCCATATACAACATTTTAAGGCAAATGCACAAGTGAATTACTATTTAAGTATTTCAACTATTTAAACTCTAAATAATCCACCATTACCTAAATGTATGAACCATATATTCACCAGCATATTCACCACAGAAGACATTTAATAAATGATATATACACATATTACCTGGAGGGGCTATGTGAGATAGTGGTTTGTTGATAATTGGAAGATGCAGGACTACTGTGCATGGAATTCTGAGAAAGTTTATACTGAGACATCATCATTCCTATGCAAAACACAAAAATATAGAATGTTATTTTCTTCTAGCAGTAAAGTGTCCTTTAAATAACTGAAATCAGTTATTCTTTCACAAACATGCCAGAGATTTTTTTTGATCAATGTTTTCATTTCAAAGAGCAAAATATAGACACTGTAAAACTGTAAATTTCAAGAACAATTTTATTACAGCACCATTTTCCATAAAACTAATTCAGGACTAGAAACAGAGATTATAATATTTTTAAAAATTTTACTTGCTTACTCAATATTCTATTATTTAGTCTTAGAATTCAAAAGATTTTTTAAAAAGTTGTCTTATCTAACCTCGCACCTAACACAATACACTTCCTTCTACAACAGGACTCAGAGTAGTTTTTATTACATGAATATTTTATCATATACACCTTTCATGCTTGGGAACTTAATTTCAAAAAGCTATTTGTATTATGGTTCAGACATAGGTTTTGAAAAGTACTTTATTTATGGGTCAAAAGTTTGAATTCCTGCAATTTCCATCTGAATGTCTTTTGAAGCAAAACCGAATGTACCTATTCCTTCTTTCACAACAACTCTTTGTCACATAGTAGGGATTAACAGAATATTTGATTAAAAAATAAAAACCTGAGAACAGCGTTCTGGTTCTTACATTTATTTTCAAGCCAGACATTATTTCTCAAATATTATGCAAATGGCATTTCATTATACAGGAGACACAGAAAAATTCACTTATTTAGATATTTCAGAATCAGATAAAAATCTATAAATAACACCCTGAATTTTCTTATGATTTCTATAGCCAAACTCTTTTTTGGGAGCTGCAAACATCAAATTATATTTCCAAATTTCATTTCCTGCTGTTGTTACAAAAAGTGCCTTTCACTAGAAATATTCATACAGAAGTTCATTTGCTAAGAGTACTACAAAAGGGATTGTAGCTGAAAGAAATTAGGTTTCAAAATCACCTCTCAGTCTACCATTGAAGGGTGTTTTCTTAAGTATGTAGTCTAAATTTCAACTTCTGACTTTTCTTTTCCAACTCAAACTCAGCAAAAAATTGTTTTGCTCCATAGCTTAATAGCTTAATTACTATAATTATTGTTGCTGGAGGTTTTTTTTCTTTTTCTTTTTCTTTTGGAGGGAGATGAATACTCAATGAGACAGGAGTTAAAAAGCTTTTCCCCCATGAATTAACAGTCATCACTGGGACAAACTGGAATTACTAGTTTGAAAGCAATGGCTTTCTAAATAAAAGGGATAAATGAAATTCTTACAGTCCTTTTCAATTAGCTCTAAGTTCCAAAGAACTATGATTAAAGTGATTTGCATTTTATTAAATTTTCTCCACATGCATGACTCATATTTAAACTTACCAACCCCCAAATCAACTTTTTAAATTTCTATTTTATTTTTATTTTTTATTTTTTAATGAGACAGGATCTCTCTGTGTTGCCCAGGTTGGTCTCGAACTCCTGGGCTCAAGCAATCCTCCTACCTTGGCCTCCCAAGTGCCGGGATTACAGGCGTGAGCCACCACGCCCAGCCAGCTTTTAAAATTTCAAAGCCATTTATCACCAGGAAAATGCTTTAATTAAAAAAAAAAAAAACATGCAACTAATCGATTGATTTTAAATGCTAGTTTATGCTTTTACAATGTAGGGTATATAGAAATCAATGTTTTGGACTAAAAAACAAGTGTATGTAGTATAAAACACAAAATATGTGACTGAGAGGTGAATACTCAAGTTTTTATTAGAGTGATTTACTACCCAAATACTCAAAAATGTAAGCTGCAAAAATGTAGTATTAGTAACCTTAGATCCATTTATCCAATACTAGATTTACTCACATTCTCATGTAACTAATACTCCCACTCTATTAGTCTTTCTTCCAATCAACTCTTTCCATAATTTCTTTCAATTCCAACATTTTTCCAGAAAGTATTCATAACTCTAGCTTCCTCCATTATTTATATCTGTCTCCTACTACTGCAATCTAACTTATTAGTTCTGGTGAAGACAGAGCACTGTCCTGCATACCTACCTTCAACTTGCTAAAAGGCAAGTCAGTCAGAAGCATCCCCATTATGCATTTTGAGGAATCGACAGTAACTATGCAATTGCTTTCAAAATACCATTCAAACAACACAAATACACAGAATCAGCAAAGTAACATTATTTAAAGGAAACGGAATAGGAAGCATCATGGAAGTGCTGCCAACAAAGTAAACCAGAATGAATTTGGCAAAATTATTTTATTTTTTTTCTTTTTTTTGAAGACAGGATCTTGCTCTGTTGCTCAGGCTGGAGTGCAGTGGTGCAATCTCAGCTCACTGCAGCCTTGACCTCCTGAGTTCAAGCGATCCTCCCACTTCAGCCTCCCAAGTAGCTGGGACTACAGGTGCACGCCATAACAGCTAGCTAATTGTTGTATTTTTTTGTAGAGACAGGCTGGTCTTGAACTCCTGGCCTGAGGCAATCCACCTGCCTCAGCTTCCCAAAGTGCTGGGATTACAGGTGTGAGTCACCATGCCCGGCAAATACAGTTATTTAATTAACAAAGTTGAACTTTCTGAAGTTGTCTAAGCTATTCCCTCCCTGACTATTTTATTCTTGAGAGCCAAACAGGCACTTGGGCTTGTCAAATTCGGTAAACTTGAACAGAACAATGCTCTTAACCTAAAGGTACTCCGTGACTACATAAAAATTATGTCTGTGTTGGATGTAATATTTTTATTATTTTATAATACTATGAATCAATTTGTCTTTAAAAATACTTAACCAATTTTTCTGTTGCTAAGGCAACAGGAGTATTAAATCAATTACTAGAAAACCATGAATACAGAATCACAATCAGTATTAAAACTCTATATACCTGCTACAATGTACATGTTCAAAAGCTTTGCAAATATTTGATTAATGAAAGACTTATTTCAAATTAATTCTGATTTTCCAAAACAAAAAAAAATTTTTAAGCTGAGTAAACTGATATATTCCAAAATATGTAACAAAATACACTTAAAACTTTATCTAATTCTCAAGGAATTTAGTTACATATTAAACTACAAGAATCTTATCAATTTAGTTTCCTTCTTGTTCTTGGCTTGACTGAAGGCATAAACATGGCATTCCTGATAGGCCAGCTTGTTAAAGAAGACACCTGGATTTAAATATGTATAAAACAAGTTCTGATATGGGAATTCAGTTATTAAGAAACTCACCACTTTGTACATATCTGTTCTGCATGCTTTTCTCCCTGAAAACATTAGGACTCCTTGCCAGGACGGCCTGCAACAAGACTGGTATGTCACCTTCTGGGTCATCACTGCCAAGGTTATCTTTCAACTCTCTGGCATTGAGAAAATAAATATCAAAAATTAAAATGGTGACTGATTCTTAAGAAGACTTATCGTATAAAAGTAAATCACACTGGTATGGCCAACGATATGAATTTTCTCTTTTTTTTTTTTGAGACGAAGTATTGCTCTTGTCCCCCAGGCTGGAGTGCAATGGTGCAATCTCGGCTCACTGCAACCTCCACCTCCCAGGTTCAAGTGATTCTCTTGCCTCAGCCTCCTGAGTAGCTGGGATTACAGGTGCCTGCCACCACGTCCAACTAATTTTTGTATTTTTGTATTTTTAGTAGAGATGGGATTTCACCATGTTGGCCAGGCTGGTCTTTAACTCCTGACCTCGAGTGATCTGCCCACCTCAGTCTCCCACAGTGCTGGGATTACAGGCATGAGCCACCACAACCGGCCCAACAGTTATGAATTTTCAAATATGCTATCCCTGGGAGAAATATAATTATCAAAAATAACAGAGGGATTCTTCTAAGGACACTCTTTTTTCTTCATTTTACTTTACACAGTCGGGGAAAAAAGCCCAAAACACTATTTTATTGAACTAAGAGTTTAATAATTTCCAAGTAGTTTTAGAATAGAAAAGAAATATATTCTATTCTAAACTACTCAAAATAATGGAAGGGTAGCGAAGTGATAGTTATACAAAAAGTTGATATTTGTTATTGGAATATATTTTCTTACATCTGAA